TGGTCATTTAAGAAAGGTTACTCTGCCAAGAAAAGGCGCGAACTATATCGGAAAGACCACTTTTTCGACATACGCGCAATCGTCCTGCCCAAAGGCTAGAACCCCGAGCCGAGTCAAACCTTGGTTTTAGGATAGTTTCATGTGTGTAAAATAGCGTCCCGCCGAGTGCAAACGCGATTTCGGCATAAATAGATTAGAATCTGGTCATTTAAGAAAGGTTACTCTGCCAAGAAAAGGCGCGAACTATATCGGAAAGACCACTTTTTCGACATACGCGCAATCGTCCTGCCCAAAGGCTAGAACCCCGAGCCGAGTCAAACCTTGGTTTTAGGATAGTTTCATGTGTGTAAAATGGCGTCCCGCCGAGTGCAAACGTGATTTCGGCATAAATAAGTTAGAATCTGGTCATTTAAGAAAGGCTACTCTGCCAAGAAAAGGCGCGAACTATATCAGAAAGACCACTTTTTCGACATACGCGCAATCGTCCTGCCCAAAGGCTAGAACCCCGAGCCGAGTCAAACCTTGGTTTTAGGATAGTTTCATGTGTGTAAAATAGCGTCCCGCCGAGTGCAAACGCGATTTCGGCATAAATAGATTAGAATCTGGTCATTTAAGAAAGGTTACTCTGCCAAGAAAAGGCGCGAACTATATCGGAAAGACCACTTTTTCGACATACGCGCAATCGTCCTGCCCAAAGGCTAGAACCCCGAGCCGAGTCAAACCTTGGTTTTAGGATAGTTTCATGTGTGTAAAATGGCGTCCCGCCGAGTGCAAACGTGATTTCGGCATAAATAAGTGAGAATCTGGTCATTTAAGAAAGGTTACTCTGCCAAGAAAAGGCGCGAACTATATCGGAAAGACCACTTTTTCGACATACGCGCAATCGTCCTGCCCAAAGGCTAGAACCCCGAGCCGAGTCAAACCTTGGTTTTAGGATAGTTTCAGTGTGTAAAATAGCGTCCCGCCGAGTGCAAACGCGATTTCGGCATAAATAGATTAGAATCTGGTCATTTAAGAAAGGTTACTCTGCCAAGAAAAGGCGCGAACTATATCGGAAAGACCACTTTTTCGACATACGCGCAATCGTCCTGCCCAAAGGCTAGAACCCCGAGCCGAGTCAAACCTTGGTTTTAGGATAGTTTCATGTGTGTAAAATGGCGTCCCGCCGAGTGCAAACGTGATTTCGGCATAAATAAGTTAGAATCTGGTCATTTAAGAAAGGCTACTCTGCCAAGAAAAGGCGCGAACTATTTCAGAAAGACCACTTTTTCGACATACGCGCAATCGTCCTGCCCAAAGGCTAGAACCCCGAGCCGAGTCAAACCTTGGTTTTAGGATAGTTTCATGTGTGTAAAATAGCGTCCCGCCGAATGCAAACGCGATTTCGGCATAAATAGATTAGAATCTGGTCATTTAAGAAAGGTTACTCTGCCAAGAAAAGGCGCGAACTATATCGGAAAGACCACTTTTTTGACATACGCGCAATCGTCCTGCCCAAAGGCTAGAACCCCGAGCCGAGTCAAACCTTGGTTTTAGGATAGTTTCATGTGTGTAAAATGGCGTCCCGCCGAGTGCAAACGGGATTTCGGCATAAATAAGTTAGAATCTGGTCATTTAAGAAAGGTTACTCTGCCAAGAAAAGGCGCGAACTATATCGGAAAGACCACTTTTTCGACATACGCGCAATCGTCCTGCCCAAAGGCTAGAGCCCCGAGCCGAGTCAAACCTTGGTTTTAGGATAGTTTCATGTGTGTAAAATGGCGTCCCGCCGAGTGCAAACGCGATTTCGGCATAAATAGATTAGAATCTGGTCATTTAAGAAAGGTTACTCTGCCAAGAAAAGGCGCGAACTATATCGGAAAGACCACTTTTTCGACATACGCGCAATCGTCCTGCCCAAAGGCTAGAACCCCGAGCCGAGTCAAACCTTCGTTTTAGGATAGTTTCATGTGTGTAAAATGGCGTCCCGCCGAGTGCAAACGTGATTTCGGCATAAATAAGTTAGAATCTGGTCATTTAAGAAAGGTTACTCTGCCAAGAAAAGGCGCGAACTATATCGGAAAGACCACTTTTTCGACATACGCGCAATCGTCCTGCCCAAAGACTACAACCCCGAGCCGAGTCAAACCTTGGTTTTAGGATAGTTTCATGTGTGTAAAATGGCGTCCCGCCGAGTGCAAACGTGATTTCGGCATAAATAAATTAGAATCTGGTCATTTAAGAAAGGTTACTCTGCCAAGAAAAGGCGCGAACTATATCGGAAAGACCACTTTTTCGACATACGCGCGATCGTCCTGCCCAAAGGCTAGAACCCCGAGCCGAGTCAAACCTTGGTTTTAGGATAGATTCATGTGTGTAAAATAGCGTCCCGCCGAGTGCAAACGCGATTTCGGCATAAATAAGTTAGAATCTGGTCATTTAAGAAAGGTTACTCTGCCAAGAAAAGGCGCGAACTATATCGGAAAGACCACTTTTTCGACATACGCGCAATCGTCCTGCCCAAAGGCTAGAACCCCGAGCCGAGTCAAACCTTGGTTTTAGGATAGTTTCATGTGTGTAAAATGGCGTCCCGCCGAGTGCAAACGCGATTTCGGCATAAATAAATTAGAATCTGGTCATTTAAGAAAGGTTACTCTGCCAAGAAAAGGCGCGAATTATATCAGAAAGACCACTTTTTCGACATACGCGCAATCGTCCTGCCCAAAGACTAGAACCCCGAGCCGAGTCAAACCTTGGTTTTAGGATAGTTTCATGTGTGTAAAATAGCGTCCCGCCGAGTGCAAACGCGATTTCGGCATAAATAAATTAGAATCTGGTCATTTAATAAAGGTTACTCTGCCAAGAAAAGGCGCAAATTATATCAGAAAGACCACTTTTTCGACATACGCGCAATCGTCCTGCCCAAAGACTAGAACCCCGAGCCGAGTCAAACCTCGGTTTTAGGATAGTTTCATGTGTGTAAAATGGCGTCCCGCCGAGTGCAAACGTGATTTCGGCATAAATAAATTAGAATCTGGTCATTTAAGAAAGGTTACTCTGCCAAGAAATGGCGCGAATTATATCAGAAAGACCACTTTTTCGACATACGCGCAATCGTCCTGCCCAAAGACTAGAACCCCGAGCCGAGTCAAACCTTGGTTTTAGGATAGTTTCATGTGTGTAAAATGGCGTCCCGCCGAGTGCAAACGCGATTTCGGCATAAATAAATTAGAATCTGGTCATTTAAGAAAGGTTACTCTGCCAAGAAAAGGCGCGAAATAGTTCGAAAATACCACTTTTTCGACATACGCGCAATCGTCCTGCCCAAAGACTAGAACCCCGAGCCGAGTCAAACCTTGGTTTTAGGATAGTTTCATGTGTGTAAAATGGCGTCCCGCCGAGTGCAAACGCGATTTCGGCATAAATAAATTAGAATCTGGTCATTTATGAAAGGTTACTCTGCCAAGAAAAGGCGCGAAATAGATCGGAAAGACCACTTTTTCGACATACGCGCAATCGTCCTGCCCAAAGGCTAGAACCCCGAGCCGAGTCAAACCTTGGTTTTAGGATAGTTTCATGTGTGTAAAATGGCGTCCCGCCGAGTGCAAACGCGATTTCGGCATAAATAAATTAGAATCTGGTCATTTAAGAAAGGTTACTCTGCCAAGAAAAGGCGCGAATTATATCAGAAAGACCACTTTTTCGACATACGCGCAATCGTCCTGCCCAAAGACTAGAACCCCGAGCCGAGTCAAACCTTGGTTTTAGGATAGTTTCATGTGTGTAAAATAGCGTCCCGCCGAGTGCAAACGCGATTTCGGCATAAATAAATTAGAATCTGGTCATTTAAGAAAGGTTACTCTGCCAAGAAAAGGCGCGAATTATATCAGAAAGACCACTTTTTCGACATACGCGCAATCGTCCTGCCCAAAGACTAGAACCCCGAGCCGAGTCAAACCTTGGTTTTAGGATAGTTTCATGTGTGTAAAATGGCGTCCCGCCGAGTGCAAACGCGATTTCGGCATAAATAAATTAGAATCTGGTCATTTAAGAAAGGTTACTCTGCCAAGAAAAGGCGCGAAATAGTTCGAAAATACCACTTTTTCGACATACGCGCAATCGTCCTGCCCAAAGACTAGAACCCCGAGCCGAGTCAAACCTTGGTTTTAGGATAGTTTCATGTGTGTAAAATGGCGTCCCGCCGAGTGCAAACGCGATTTCGGCATAAATAAATTAGAATCTGGTCATTTATGAAAGGTTACTCTGCCAAGAAAAGGCGCGAAATAGATCGGAAAGACCACTTTTTCGACATACGCGCAATCGTCCTGCCCAAAGGCTAGAACCCCGAGCCGAGTCAAACCTTGGTTTTAGGATAGTTTCATGTGTGTAAAATGGCGTCCCGCCGAGTGCAAACGCGATTTCGGCATAAATAAATTAGAATCTGGTCATTTAAGAAAGGTTACTCTGCCAAGAAAAGGCGCGAATTATATCAGAAAGACCACTTTTTCGACATACGCGCAATCGTCCTGCCCAAAGACTAGAACCCCGAGCCGAGTCAAACCTTGGTTTTAGGATAGTTTCATGTGTGTAAAATAGCGTCCCGCCGAGTGCAAACGCGATTTCGGCATAAATAAATTAGAATCTGGTCATTTAATAAAGGTTACTCTGCCACAGTGTTGGCGGTAACGCGTTACCGGTAACGCGTTACTTTTTTTGGTAACGTCGTAACGTACTCGTTACTTTTCCAAAGAAGTAACGGGTAACGTACTTACGTTACTTATTTTGAGTAACGTGTAACGATATTGCGTTACGTTACTTTACTTCCTAAAACTTAAAAAAATTTAATTTAAATTCTTTTTTGTGTGTTTTTAAGTTCCCAGTCATAAATTCCTTAGTCCGAAAATGCCGCTGTCCTCGACTTTTCTTTGACGTCGGTGCTCGTCAGATTTGACGTGACACGCCACCTGCCACTCGTTTTCTCCCGCGGCTCGTTGACCTCGCTACCGCCGTCGCCTCGGCTGGAAGGCCAAAGAGGTCCGGCTTCGGGTGGATATGGGAGATTCCTGCGTCGAAGCCTGCGTTTCGCCTCCCCCTGGGAAAGGGAATGACACCTTCGTGTCATTCTTTTTCCCGTTTTCGGGACTTGAAAAACGGAGGCGGCCTTGAGCGATTGACCGACAGCTGTGTGGCTCTCCGGACTCACGTGATGAGCAGAGCAAGGCCACCGTGGAGGGCACGGGCGAGATTTGACAAAAATAACTTTCCCCCGGCAAAAAAACAAACAAACAAACAACAACAACAACAACAACAACAAACAATACGGCCGGAAGCAGAGCGCCGAACGATTCGTCGAAGTCGTGTCGCCTGGCGATTCTTGTAGTGTCCTGTTTGGACATGCAAACATTCCTGCTTTACGGAAACCCCAACACCACGCCCATTGACCTACTTCGACGAACGCTGTCACGGGCAGTGGCAGGCACAATGATAGAAGTCCTCCGAGGTCAACTCCTAATCCTCCGAGGAGAGAGGGTTCAGTTTTTTCTACTATCCTAATCTAACCCTTTCGTGGAACCCCAGTGGCTATTCTTTTTGCGAGAGTGAACCCGCAATCCTACTGCGCCAGAGAGACGCTTCCCAACAATTTCTTCTGAACCGTGCTGGACGCGGATCTTCAAGGTCGCGCACCAGTTGTCAGAGCTGAAGACGATAAAACCCCTCACGAAAGCCATTCGCAAGCAGTTGTCGTCACCTGTAGGATGGCTACGGCAAGTGCAGCTTCATCGCCTTGGCCAGGACTCAATAAATACTTCGAACTGACAGAAGCCAAAGATGACAATTTAATCTTTAAGTGCCTTCTGTGTCAGCCACAGCTGAAGCTCTTAAGTTGTGCCAAGTCCTCAAGCTCCAACCTGAAGAAGCATGTAAAGGTAAGCAAAAATTTTTGTTTCTTGCTCTTTATATTTGTAATTTAATTCCGATTTTGCATTGAGTGGGCCCTCAGATGTTATCAATACAGCTTTGGCGGAGTGTTGTGTTATTTCATGTCAGAAAGCATATCGCCATATTTTTAATCAGCAATCTGCTTCTTTGTTTTGCGCAGAAACTACACAAACAAAGCTTGGCTGCGTTCGAGGCCCTTTCAACAAAAAAGAGGGGAATCATTCAAGCGTACGAGAGCCCTGGAGCGAATTCCACACAGCCAACAAAGCAAGCCAAGATCGACGACTTAGTCCGCCATCAGTCCGTGCCTCAGGTGCAGCTTGACAGACTGGTTGAAGATTTTGTTATTAATGCCACGCAGCCTTTCTCGGTGGTGGAGGAGCCTTCATTTGTGAAGTTACTAAAAGCAACAGCCCGAGAGAGGAACGTGCTCACGCGTCCGATGCTCATGACACGCCTTAAGGCGCGCTTCGATGCCCTGAAGGACAGTTTGCGCTCAACGTTTCAGAAGCTCCAGTTTGTGGCAGTCACCGCGGACTGCTGGACTCGCTTTCACAGGTACTGTTCTTAGCTCAATTGACATTTATTTACAACCATACGATTGACGGTTGACCTATCGGCACTTCTACCATTTTACTCAAAGACATATGAGTCTGTTGATAGCTACTACGTTTGCTTCCCAGAGTTTTGATGTTTTTTTTTTACCTTTTTGTCTGTTTATGGTGTTTTTCAAATATCTAAATTCACGTGAAATTTGCTTTGCCATAATCTACGAAGCCATATTTTTCTTAATATCGATTTCCCTAGCGCAAGCACTTCATTATAAAGAAATACGGGTATCATTTCTAATGTGGCTAACCTTGATCATTATCATATTTTATAGTTCGCTTGCCAATAACTTTCCAGGTGTTACCTTGGTGTCACGGTCCTTTGGCTGGACCCGACAACTTTAGAAAGAAAGGTCGCTGCCTTGGCTTGCCGCCGTATGCACGGGAGCGTAACTTTTGAGCGGCTTGCCACCACTCTAGAGGAGATATTCAACGAGTTCGACCTTCTGGGCAAGATTACGAAAGTCATCACGGACAGCGGGTCGAATTTCGTGAAAGCTTTTCGGTGAGTCTCTGTTACATTGTTAAAAATGTTATTCCTTGGTACACGCGTCTATATATTGTTGCGCTTGTGCAGGATCTACGGTGAGGAGGAAGCCAACGATGAAGACGAAGAAAATTGTCAGCCAGTGCATTTATGTTCGCTGATCGAGAGCGCCGAAGAAGGAAGGCACCGCCTGCCACCCCACCACCGGTGCTCAGCACACACTTTGAACCTCATCGCTACCGTTGACGCGGCTCGTGCAGAGACTGTTGATCAAAAATATTCCACGATTAAGCAAAGTGTGTTCTCCAAGTGCCAAAAGCTCTGGAATAAGCAGGGACAGTCCGCGCAAGCAGCTGATCTGATCAAATCCCACTGCGGAATCTACGTGCCTCGGCCAAATGTTACAAGGTGGAACTCTACCTTCAAGGCCATGGAGGCTATCAACACGTTTCTAGAAAGGGGAACAGACCTAGACGTCCTCTTCTGCAAGCTAGGAATTCCGAGGCTGCTGCCACCTCACGAGCCCAACTTCATCAAGGAGTATTGCAGGGTACATTAAATTTAGGTAGTTTTCGTGACTTTCTTGCTAAAATATTTGTCGTTTAATTACAGGTCATGAAACCTGTCTGCTGCGCCCTGAATGTCCTGCAAGGTGACAACCACATTCACAGTGGCTATCTGCTTCCGACGCTGGACGTCCTCATCAAGAAGATCGAGTATGAGAAGATGGCTGGATTGCGCTACTGCGGACCTCTAGCTGTTTCTCTGTTGGCCGGAATTCACAAAAGGTAAGTTGTGACACGCGTAAATTGCATGAATTGCTTGAGAGAACTATGAAATGTGATGTCGATCGGGAGAGCCAAAAGGGTAAAACCGTCGGTTGAACGGTTTTATGATCAATGTTTCTCGCGTAGAGAGTACGTTTTGAAACTTGTGGCCTGCGAATTCCGCCGTAGGTGATCGCTCAGACGACTCGTTTTCTTTACTCAGTGGTGTTTATTACCACTGCACGCAAAGAACCCATCCGATATGAGGCTTGTCTTCTTTCGCCACGCTCCGCTTGGAAGCGGGGAGTCCCGCGCGCCTACGAACTTCGCTCCTTTGGATGAAGTACAACAGTTATTTCGCTAATGCAATATACATTTCGCTGCTGCAGGTTCGACAATGTGATGAGTCAGAAGGACCTGCTGGTTGCCGCTACACTGCTCCCGAGATTCAAGCTGTCGTGGATTTCGGATGAAGCCAAGCGAAATGCGGCCCTCGCGGCCGTCAAGAGCGAGCTGACAGTCTCTTCGCGGCTTGTCGAGAGCCCGGCTTCCCCACTAAAAGCGAACGCAGCAGAAGAGGATTTCTTTGGAAACCCGTTTGGAAATGCATGCACCTCCGTGTCCGGGGATGATGAGCTTTCACGGTACTTTCTGGTACCACACAACTTTGCACTGACGGAGCTAAAAAACAGCTTCCCTCTGATGCACAAGCTGTTTCTCAAAGTGAACACGGCTGTACCATCGAGCGCATCCGTTGAACGCCTATTTAGCGTAGGCGCGGACGTGTTTACCAAGAAGCGAGGTAGAATGTCTGATGCCAACTTCGAAATTCAGCTGTTGCTGAAGTACAACAGCGGAGTGTGCTTCGGGTAACGGAGGAACTTGTTCACAGCAACTACCGGTACTTCGACATGTTGTGAATAAAATACATTCAACGTTTCAATCTCGGCTGGTCTTAATTTCTTTGCTAATGAGGGAGGTCGGTTCTTCTGTTAAGTTCCGTGCCAACATGTCATAAATCAGCTTCATATATACTTCCGCGTTTTTCTTTTAACTATTCGGGTGAAACCCTAAAAAAGAGAGCGTAATTAAGTTTCCGCATGGACATATTTTAGCTATGGCGCTTACGCACATATCAAACGTCGAAACAGCAAATGTTTTAGTTCGTGAATAAAAAGTAACGCAACAGTAACGTGCGTTACTTTTTATCAGTAACGGTAACGGTAACGCGTTCCTTTTATTTTGAGGTAACGTAGGTCGGTAACGCGTTACTTTTATTTGCAAGTAACGAGTAACGTATTTAGTTACTTTTTTTCGGTAACGCATACAACACTGCTCTGCCAAGAAAAGGCGCAAATTATATCAGAAAGACCACTTTTTCGACATACGCGCAATCGTCCTGCCCAAAGACTAGAACCCCGAGCCGAGTCAAACCTCGGTTTTAGGATAGTTTCATGTGTGTAAAATGGCGTCCCGCCGAGTGCAAACGTGATTTCGGCATAAATAAATTAGAATCTGGTCATTTAAGAAAGGTTACTCTGCCAAGAAAAGGCGCGAATTATATCAGAAAGACCACTTTTTCGACATACGCGCAATCGTCCTGCCCAAAGACTAGAACCCCGAGCCGAGTCAAACCTTGGTTTTAGGATAGTTTCATGTGTGTAAAATGGCGTCCCGCCGAGTGCAAACGCGATTTCGGCATAAATAAATTAGAATCTGGTCATTTAATAAAGGTTACTCTGCCAAGAAAAGGCGCAAATTATATCAGAAAGACCACTTTTTCGACATACGCGCAATCGTCCTGCCCAAAGACTAGAACCCCGAGCCGAGTCAAACCTTGGTTTTAGGATAGTTTCATGTGTGTAAAATAGCGTCCCGCCGAGTGCAAACGCGATTTCGGCATAAATAAATTAGAATCTGGTCATTTAATAAAGGTTACTCTGCCAAGAAAAGGCGCAAATTATATCAGAAAGACCACTTTTTCGACATACGCGCAATCGTCCTGCCCAAAGACTAGAACCCCGAGCCGAGTCAAACCTTGGTTTTAGGATAGTTTCATGTGTGTAAAATAGCGTCCCGCCGAGTGCAAACGCGATTTCGGCATAAATAAATTAGAATCTGGTCATTTAATAAAGGTTACTCTGCCAAGAAAAGGCGCAAATTATATCAGAAAGACCACTTTTTCGACATACGCGCAATCGTCCTGCCCAAAGACTAGAACCCCGAGCCGAGTCAAACCTTGGTTTTAGGATAGTTTCATGTGTGTAAAATGGCGTCCCGCCGAGTGCAAACGCGATTTCGGCATAAATAAATTAGAATCTGGTCATTTAAGAAAGGTTACTCTGCCAAGAAAAGGCGCGAAATAGTTCGAAAATACCACTTTTTCGACATACGCGCAATCGTCCTGCCCAAAGACTAGAACCCCGAGCCGAGTCAAACCTTGGTTTTAGGATAGTTTCATGTGTGTAAAATGGCGTCCCGCCGAGTGCAAACGCGATTTCGGCATAAATAAATTAGAATCTGGTCATTTATGAAAGGTTACTCTGCCAAGAAAAGGCGCGAAATAGATCGGAAAGACCACTTTTTCGACATACGCGCAATCGTCCTGCCCAAAGGCTAGAACCCCGAGCCGAGTCAAACCTTGGTTTTAGGATAGTTTCATGTGTGTAAAATGGCGTCCCGCCGAGTGCAAACGCGATTTCGGCATAAATAAATTAGAATCTGGTCATTTAAGAAAGGTTACTCTGCCAAGAAAAGGCGCGAATTATATCAGAAAGACCACTTTTTCGACATACGCGCAATCGTCCTGCCCAAAGACTAGAACCCCGAGCCGAGTCAAACCTTGGTTTTAGGATAGTTTCATGTGTGTAAAATAGCGTCCCGCCGAGTGCAAACGCGATTTCGGCATAAATAAATTAGAATCTGGTCATTTAATAAAGGTTACTCTGCCAAGAAAAGGCGCAAATTATATCAGAAAGACCACTTTTTCGACATACGCGCAATCGTCCTGCCCAAAGACTAGAACCCCGAGCCGAGTCAAACCTCGGTTTTAGGATAGTTTCATGTGTGTAAAATGGCGTCCCGCCGAGTGCAAACGTGATTTCGGCATAAATAAATTAGAATCTGGTCATTTAAGAAAGGTTACTCTGCCAAGAAAAGGCGCGAATTATATCAGAAAGACCACTTTTTCGACATACGCGCAATCGTCCTGCCCAAAGACTAGAACCCCGAGCCGAGTCAAACCTTGGTTTTAGGATAGTTTCATGTGTGTAAAATAGCGTCCCGCCGAGTGCAAACGCGATTTCGGCATAAATAAATTAGAATCTGGTCATTTAATAAAGGTTACTCTGCCAAGAAAAGGCGCAAATTATATCAGAAAGACCACTTTTTCGACATACGCGCAATCGTCCTGCCCAAAGACTAGAACCCCGAGCCGAGTCAAACCTCGGTTTTAGGATAGTTTCATGTGTGTAAAATGGCGTCCCGCCGAGTGCAAACGCGATTTCGGCATAAATAAATTAGAATCTGGTCATTTATGAAAGGTTACTCTGCCAAGAAAAGGCGCGAAATAGATCGAAAATACCACCTTTTCGACATACGCGCAATCGCCCTGCCCAAAGGCTAGAACCGCGAGCCAAGTGAAACCTTGGTTTTACGATAGTTTAATTTTTGTAAAATAGCGCCACGCCGAGTGCAAAACGATATTTTT